GGTGTCCCGGTCATGTTTTGATGGTGTCCCGGTCATGTTTTGATGGTTTCCCGGTCATGTTTTGATGGTGTCCCAGTCATGGTGTGACGGTGTCCCGATCATGTTTTGATGGTGCCCTGGTCATTTTGTGATGGTGTCCCGGTCATGTGATGATGGTGTCCAAGGAAGAGATGGTCGATGTGTTGAAAACAGCAGCTGTTTCCAGATTTTTTCTTTTTGTCCCGGTTTGTATCTTGCTATTGGGGTCTCCAGCTGGGCTAATTTAGATATAAACATGTAGATATATTTATCGTATACTCATGCTACACATACACACACATATTAAGATTTAAGATGCACACATGCCGCAAGTATTACGCTTTGCTCTAGACCGTAAAAAACATTTGCCAAGCAAAATGTCCACCTTTTCCAACGGGGATTGGGCTCCAGGGCGCCCATTTCAAACAAATTCCGGACCAGGTAAACACAGATCTAGTGGAAGATTTGTTGGTTGTCTGCAATGCGCTAGCAGCGTCTCTTGCCAATTTGTTCGCCTTCCTGGCCCATAGCCATCCACAGTGCACTTTTGTCAACCAGGCACACCCTTGCCCTCCATGCTGGCAATATCACCGAGACCCAAAAACAACCACAAAACCACCACCAAACAAGCAAACACAAAACAACCCCCGAAAACAAAAGCACCTGGTTCGTAGCTCGATCGGCCATGTCAGCCAAATTCAGAAGGTGAAACCAGGGGTTTGTACAAAGTGGGCACATAGTACCATGCTAGGGTTTTGCTCATGTTTCACCATGTTTCACAAGGGCCGTGCATGAAGGAAATCATCGACCTCTGAACACTGGCTCGCTCCATTTAGGATTGCTTCCGCACATCTCCTGCGCTCCTGTAGGCCTGGCTGTTAAGGAGCTTGCTGGGGGTGTGCGTGTCCCCTCCCTCTGCTGAGAAAGTTTCGTGTTGGTGCATTCGGGAGCACTTGCATGCAATGCCTGCCATGGCGAAACCACAGGCCACTGTCCCTTCTGTTATTGCAATGGTGTGAAACGATTGTGACCAGATACTGACTTTTTTCCGAGGCCGGAACTGCATTGCACTCCAGCAAGATTAATTTCCGTCGCATCTTTCAAGGAGCCCAGGTGCTGCCAGATCATTCGAAGCCTGTTGAACTGATCTGGCCTGGCTTGTGCTGTTATTGGGGTGCCTCTAGTGCACTCAGGCAGCTCTGATGGTGATCAGGCTTTGTCCGCACTCTGCACAAAATCACACCAGAATGATTTGCAGATTCAAGAATTCGTGGCCCGTTTAGTAAGTTGCAGTCTCTTTCGTGTTTCACGTGTCTCACCCTTCCGTACAGCGCGAAACTCTGCAAGTACTCTCGGGCGTGCCCTGGTTGGTGTTTTGTGTTTTTTGGTTGGCCTTTTCCCCCCCCGCAACATGCAGAGTTTCCACCTTCAGCGCCCTTGTTTTGGACCCACACCCCGACGTTCCGCAGTGTGTTGTTTCGCGCACCACCAGATCGAATCAGCCCTACATGCAAGAGTGCGAGGTCTGCATGCTCTGGTACAGGAAATCGAACAAACAGTAGACTATATGCCTCAAGATGTGCAGGGTGCTCTCCTCACTCCCCTGGCTGACCTACACTCCCAACTGTGTGGCCTCGTGTACGTAGCCTGGTTACTCTCCCTTTTGCACCCGCATGCTGATGATCACGAGCAGTAGTGACAGGGTCCTAGTGACATGCCTCTGCAGCAACTTGATGTCCCCATTTTTTCTTACTGGGTATTTTGGAAAAGTGCCCCCTGCTAAAAGCTAGATGCAGTTGATTTTCGGCAGATGCACTTTGCTGTAACGTTTGGCTCACAGCAGGTCGTAGGGCCTCGCATACAGAAGTGAGGTCAGCCTTAGCTGACATCACCTTTGTTGCCTTTCGTTTGCTCGCGCCGCTCAGTGCCACTGCCAACCTTAGCTGGCGGGGGCTGCACTGATATTTTCGAGCAGAGCACCTCCAATGTCACATGACCCATGGATGGAGGACAGTAATTCACTGGACCTAACAGATAATGTGGAGGACAGAGTCCATGTGCCCTTTGCATTCACACGTGACCATGCGGAGTGGCTGACAGCAGATGGCCAGGCCAACTTTGCCAGGGGTACGGAGGCTAGTGTGACGCAGTCCCAGGAGGATGCTTATGCAGCGATGGCCATGAAAGACACTCTCAGCAGTCCTTTCGGCCTTGATTCCGCCCGCCCTACGCTCGGTTTGTCTGATGTTCGTGCGCAGCCAACCAAAAAGGACGACGGGTATGCCACTCTTGAAACAGAGGGAGACCTGCCTGATACTACTGCCATCATTCAGACACTCATGTCACACCGCGACTTGATCATGAACAATCAAATGATCTACCTAATAGTGGACAATCGAATGCCGGCAGCTGTCCCGCATTGGCCGGCTTTTGCAGCATGGTGGGCCTCACGTAGGTGCCTAGTGGGTCGCCAAGAAGAGGCAACTGACGTACTTTGGGTCTGTGCAGATGCTACTACTGGCCTTCACAAGGTTCCATACTACTGGGCAGGAGTCTTTGTCCTAGAGGCAGCGCGATTCTTGTATCCTGCACAGCATTTTGCACTCATTGACAATGACTGTGTACCAGTCACGCTCTTCGAAGTGCAAGACCTACTGCAGCTGGCACATCAGCAGCACCAGTGGGTCGACCTCATAGGGCGCGCGCGTTCAGAGTCTAGCTCCTGTGCAGGGATTGGCATGCTTCTCTTCACAGAGGCTCACTTGGAGTATAATGCAGGTCTGGTCATCTCGATCGGCAATCGCAGCAAGCACAGTCCACTGGAGCAAGACTCGACTGCTTCGACCCTGGCGAAGAACCTCCAGGCAGGCCGCCTTGCTTTAGTATCTAGAGCCAGACCACCTGTCAATCCGAGCGACACAGTCATCACTGCCACTCTGTTCACCCCGTTTGTTGGGACCGCAATGCAAACTGCCCTTGACCTATGCATGGTCTGGTCCTTATACGGACTCTACATGCGTAAGCACTTTTGGCCTAGTCCCGTTACCAGCCCGAATGAACTTGGTCCAGGCAGTACAATCAAGTGGCCACGGCAATCCCATCCAAAGGCTCTCA